CCCAAGAGAGACTTCCCCACCCAGGGCTGGCTAATTCCTAGACATAGTTACATAATTCCCACTCCCCTTGAAGGGTGCCTTTCATATGTAAACCAACTAATCCAGAGTGTATACTCTGAACCACCTCCTCATACACTCCAGGAGCAATAGCCCTCTCTCTGCTACAATCATAAAGGCCCATGATCATAGTAATTTGAGTCTTCTCTTTTTCTTAGTCAATCTAGCTAAGGTGTGTAAAAAAAAAAAAAAAAAAAACCTTTATCATAAGAAAAAAGCATTAAAAATCAGAAAAAATGAAACACTAGGTAAATATTTGTAACTTATCACAAAGGACATTGTATCTCTAATATATAAGGAGGCCCTAAAATTTTAATTTTTTATCCTCATCTGAGGACATTTTTGCATTTATCTTCAGATAGAGCGGGAGGGAGAGGGGAAGAAAGAGAAACATTGATGTGAGATACACACATCGACTGGTTGCCACCCGCACAATCCCAACCATGGCCAGGGACAAACTGCAACGGAGGTACGTGCCCTTAGTGGGAACAGAACTCAGGACTCTGGTCTGCGGGCCAACACTCTAACTGCTGAGCCAAACTGGCCAGGGCAGAGCTCCTAAAATTTTAAAAAGGCCAACAATCCAACAGAAAAATGAGCAAAAGATTTGAGCAGACAGTTCACAGGAAAAAAAAAATATATGATCTTTAAACATAGAAAAAATGTTCAATCCCATTCATAATAAGAAAAATATAAAGCTACACAGAAATACCATGTCTTAACTATCAGATTGGCATATACCCAAGTTTTGCAACTTTTCTAGGAACAAATTTACATATTTTGCTGGAAAGAAGGCAAAATGGAGCAACCACAGAGGAAAATTCAGCAACATCTAGAAAAATAATGAATGCATTTATGCTTTAACCTAGGAGTTCCACTTCTAGCAATCTATCTCCAAGTTTCACCAGAAACACTCTGAAATAACCTATGCATAAAGTAATTCATGAGGGCACTAGTTGTAAAAATGAAAGACTGGAAACAACCTATAGAACTAGTTGAATAAACCAGGGACTTTCACAAAAAGGAGTACAAAAGAATGAGGAAGATCTCTTTGTATCAATTTGGAGTAATTCTGGGGCAGTTCCTTAAAAGGAATGGGGGCCAATCTGGTAACGACAGCAACAGAAGAGTGGAAATAGCACTGTATCAGGGTCAGGAAATAGCTTTTTTAGAAATCCTCACCCGAGAATATTTTTCCTTTGATTTTTAGACAGAATGGGAGGAGGGAAGAGAGAGAGAGACATCGATGTGAAAGACACATCAATTGGATGCCTCCTGCATGACCCCGACCAGGGCCAGGAATCGAACCTTCAACCAAGGTATATGTTCTTGACTGGGAAATGAACCCTCGACTCTTTCGTCTGCAGGCAGACCTCTAACCATTGAGCAACACTGACCAGGGCAGGAAATAACTTTTGTCTGGGTCCTGCTTCATATTCAGAATAACCTTAGTCAATGTTATGGCTTATGTTACAATTATCTATGTAGAGTACAATCTCTTTAAAGACAGGGTCGAATCACTTACCTGGATCTCCCAATTTACAAGCAGCGTCTAGTAGAGCAGAGGGGAATAGAGGAGGGAATAGAGGATATGGTGTAAGGTGGCACAGGAAAAGGAAGGTATGTGTGGGTACAGATGATGCTTTGTAGACCTGATAAAGACCTTAGATTTTGTTTTATTTTTTAAATTGGTTTGAGAGAGAGATCAATGTGAGAGAGAAACATCAGTGTGAGAGAAACATTGATCAGTTGCCTCCCACTCACCCTGACTAGGGATCAAACCCACAACCTGGACATGTGCCCTGACCAGGAATCAAACCCACCACCTTTTTGTGTACTGGACAATGCTCCAACTGAGCCACCAGGCAAGGGCTTGGATTTTATTCTGATTGTGTACTCAGCCATTGGAGGATTTTGAGGAGAGGTGTGACATGGTCTGATTTATATGTTTCCAGTTTTCTTCAGACAGAGTGGGAGGGAGAGAGGAAGGGAAAGAGAGAGAGAAACATCAATGTGAGAGAGACATTAATTGGTTGCCTCCTGAACGACCGCGACCAGGGCCAGGGACTGAACCGCAACTGAGGCACATGCCCTTGACTGTAATCGAACCCGTGACTCTTTGGTCCTTGAGATGACGCTCTTGCTGAGCCAAGCCAACTAGGGCTTTAAATATATATATATATTTTTTTATCCTCACCCGAGGACATTTTTGCATTTATCTTCAGATAGAGTGGGAGGGAGGGAGGAAGAGAGAGAGAGAAATATTGATGTGAGAGAGACACATCAACCAGTTGCCACCTGCACAACCCCAACCAGGGCTGGGGACGAACTGCAACCGAGGTTTGGAAACCAAACCGGGGACTCTTTGGTCCGTGGACTGACGCTCTAACCGCTGAGCCAAACTGGCCAGGGCTAAAAAATATTTTTAAAAAATAAGGACCACTCTGGTTGCTGTGTGAATAATCTATTGTGTGGGAAGTATGGAAGCAGGGTATACCAGAGTATCTCAAGATAAACAGGTGCACATATTCACTGACAGATACAAAAAATGTCCATAGCAACTTCATTCATAACCACAAACTAGAAACAACCAATATTCCCATTATTACTAGAATTCATAAATTATGTTGGTCATACAAGGGACTACAAAGAGTAAAGAAATGAACTTCTGCAACATGTAACACAATGACTCACAGACATGTTAGACAAGACACAAGAGTACATATGTGACATTTACATTAGGTTGTTTTTTAAAAAATTTATGAATTATAGAGAGAGAGAGAGGAAGGGAGAGGGAGAAACGTCGATGAGAAACATCAGCTGCCCTCTGCACACCCCCTGCTAGGGATTGAGCCCACATCCCAAGATGTGCCCTAACCAGGAATCGAACTAGCGATCTCTTGGTGCGTGGGTTGATGCTCAACCACTGAGCCACAACGGCTGGGCATACATTAGGTTTTATTTTATTTATTTATTTTTTATCCTCACCGGAGGACATTTTTCCATTTTTTGTTCAGGTAGAGTGGGAGGGAGAGAGAAGAACAGAGAGAGAGAGAGAAACATCGATGTGAAAGGAACACATCGAGTGGCTGCCACCCGCACAATCGACCAGGGCCGGGGACAAACTGCAACCGAGGTATATTCCCTTAGCGGGAACTGAACCCGGGTCTCTCAGGACCGCAGGCCGACGCTCTAACCACTGAGCCAAACCGGCCAGGGCATACATTAGGTTTTAAAGCAGACAAAAGTAATCCATGGAGATCAAGGTGAGAACAGTGGTTATCTGTAGGGGGGAGGGGCATAAGAGCACCTATTGGGATATTAGAAATGTTCAATATCTTGATTTGGGTGAAGTGGAAGGTGTATATAAATATCCACTGTGGCATACACTTAATTTTTACATACTTTACTGAATGGTTTACCTCAATAAGAAAATATTTTGGCTCTGGCTGAGTGGCTCAGTTGGTTGGAGCAATCTCCCGTACACCAAAAGGCTTTGGGTTTGATTCCTGGTCAGAACACATACCTAAGTTGGGAGTTCGATCCCAGCTGGGACCCCTATGGAAGGCAACTGATCCATGTTTCTCTCTCTCTCAACATATCCTTGGGTGAGGATTTTTAAAGTGTATTTTGAAGAAAATTATATAAATGGAGAGATGTAACTATGTTATTCAGTAGTGTTGTCTTCCAAATAATTCTGGTTTTCCTTCCAGGCACATGGAGGGATTATATTCCTTGAACTGTGATGTGGTCATGTGATTTACTTTGGCCATTGAACGTGCTTTAGGGCCTATGAGTGATTTGCCATATTATTTTCATTTCCCCTGAATGAGCAGTCACACCCTACATGGATCCCCCTTTGTTGGCCTGAGTCTCACAAAGACAACTTAAAGCAGGGCTCAATTAACACTGTCAATAAAGGGTCATATGGTTCATATTTAGATTTTGTGGGCCATACACTGTCACAAGTGCTCAAACTCTGCCACTGTAGAGCAAAAGCAGCCATAGACAATACACAAGTAAATGGACAAGGCTGTCTTCCAATAAAACTTACAGAAACAAGCAGCAGGATAGATTTTGCTTGTGCTTAACCACTGACCTAGTGCAAAGTCCCTGCCCAAGTGAGACATTGTATGAGACATTGAAATTTTGTGGTTGTTACCATATGGCAACCTACCCCATCGTGATACAGAAACTGGTTGTTTTTAAAAAAAAAAAAAAACAAACGTAACCCTGGCTGGTTTGGCTCAGTGGTTAGAACGTCAGCCCGCGGACTAGAGAGTCCTGGGTTCGGTTCCCGCTAAGGGCACGTACCTTGGTTGCAGTTTGTCCCCGGCCCAGGTTGGGGTTGTGTGGGTGGCAACCAGTCGATGTGTCTCTCTCACATCGATGTTTCTCTCTCTCCCTCCCGCTCTAAAGATAAATGCAAAAAAAAAAAGTCCTTAGGAGAGGATAAAAAAAAAAAAAAACCTAAAATACTGAACACTGGCTTAGCTGGCAAGCATGTGGAACACTGCTATTGGAGCATGGAAGAAATAACTTATGCAGGGGCAATTCAGGTTATAGCCGGGTGAAACTATCCCTTGAGAGAAGCTGCAAGGCCAATAACATACCCTTTACCAAAGGAAAAAAGAAAACAAAGTATGTTATGGCTGCTATTGGCTGCATTTGACAAAATGAATAGGACAGAGATGAACTCAGAATAGAATTCATCAATTTGCAAGCAGAAACCCAAGGAATTAGACAGCGTAAACAAATTCAATTACCTACTGAGTAGGATGAGGCCACTTCTCAATTATAAGATAAAAATGAGAAATGCTTTAATCCAAAGGTTGAGTAAAACCCAGCTTTGCAGCAAGGGTGAAGTCACTGGATGATTACCATACCTACCGTCGAGATCTCTGAAAAAGTTAATGTACTTCACATTAAAATCCAACTAAAAGTGTAACACTAATTAATCCCTTAAATTGGACAGAATGCATCAAGGAAAAAGACTAAGGGTATGGCTCTCCCATGAAGTCTGAAAGTCCCAGTTATACAGAAATTAAGTTCAGAATGTCTTGCAAACAAGAAACCAAAGAGAACATCTAAGAAGTGTGTTGGCTAGATGTCACATTTGAGTCAAGTTCATTGGGTAGGTGACAAGTCAGTCAGCAGGTAGGAAAGCAAGTGAACAAAATATTAAGTGACCAGGAGGGCTGACTGAGTCATTCCTCTAATATTTTGTTAAATTTACTTACTTTGAAATTCCAGAAGAGCCAGAAATTGTCTGTAAAGAAAAATAGCCAGTAAACAGCATGCCATTTTCTCCTAGGGTTGATGCTTACAAAAGGAAAATGGATATTAACTCTTAAGTAGCATTATCTTTTTCTGATATCAAATGTAACCTTATACTGAAGTACATATTGTTTTAGTCCACTACATAGTTGTTCAGTATTTTTCATCCAGATTCCTTTAGAAATTTGTGTTGTTGTTGTTCAGATAAGAGTGGGAGGGAGACAGAGAAACATCAACGTGAAAGGGACACATCGAGTGGTTGCCACGCGCACGACCCAACCAGGGCCGGGGACAAACTGCAACCGAGGCACGTGCCCTTAGCGGGAACAGAACCTGGGTCTCTCTGGACCGCAGGCCACCGCTCTAACCCGCTGAGCCAAACCGGCCAGGGCTCCTTTAGAAATGTTGTAAAAAGACAAGACCTAGTCTGGCCAGTTTGGCTCAGTGGTTGAGCATTGACTCACACACCAAGAGGCCACTGATTCGATTCCCAGTCAGGGCACATGCCCAGGCTGTGGGCCCACTCCTCAGTGTAGGGCATATAGGAGGCGGCCAATCGATGTTCTCCCCCCTCCCCACCTCTCTAACATCAATAAAGAAAAAAAAAGTTAAGACCTATATCAAGGAGATAATGACTTAATATTATACAGTGGACTTATGTGAGTATACCTGGGTTTGAATCCTGGCTTTACTACTTATGTTTACTAGGGCAAACTGCAATCTCTTTGTTTTCCCAACAACATTCACATAACTATTTGAGCCACATGCCAAGCACTGATCTACATTCTGAGAATACAGTGAGCTCCCTAGTCATGAACTTAGTTTCATTCCTTAATTTGTAATGTGTAGATAACAATTACACAGTAAGCAGTCTAAGACAGGACCACGGTGAAGGTCAAATGAGACTGTGAAAGGGCCTCAAAGACTGTAAAACACTACACAAACATTTATTCATCCAAACATTTATTGAGACACCAAGCATTGTGCTACTACAGATATACAGTGAGCAAGGCATAAGGTCCCTGCCCTTATAAAGCTTACAGTCTAGTAGTGATTAATAACAAGTAACAATAAAGTGTGCTAAGTGTATGGAAAAAAAAAAAAAGGGTATTTAGGGAGCAGTAGGGGCACCTAGTCTAGCGGGCATCAATGAAGGCTTCCTAGAGGATGTGGTATATAAAGTGAGACCTGAAAGATGAATAGAATTGTAGCTTACCCTAAAAGCAATGTTGGAAGCAGTGTCCAGATAGTCTTTTGGAACAATCTGGCTGCAGCGTGCAAAGGGACCAAAACCAGAGAAAGGGAGACTAATGAATCATTTCAGTAGACTGATGGCCTCAATTAGAATAGTAGCGCTGGAGAATTAAGAAAAATTTAGACAGGGACTTTGTGAATGGTATGATGTATGAAGAGGGAAGTCATGAATAACTCAGGTTTTGGCTGAGGCAAGGGCAACTGAATGGTTGGTAGTGGCAATGCCATTTACCAAAAGGGAACACGACAGAAGTAGGTTTAGGGGCCAGATTAATAACATGCTGCGGTGCCTATGAGACAGCAAAATGGACTTAAGTTAGCAGTTAGATACATGAATTACAAACTAGAAAGGATATAAATTTGGGAGTCATTTGCATACAAGTGGTAACTGAAGCCAATGAAAGGAGATGGGATCAGCTAAGGAGATGATGTGGAATAAGATAGTCTAACACAAAACTTAACTATCCCAAGAACACAGATATTTAAGGAAAGAGGTACCTGCAAAGAAAACTGAGAAAGCATACCTGGAGATGGTATCTCCCCGAAGCCAAAGCAAACATCTATTTCAAGGAGAGCGGTCGGTGGCATCAGAGGGTAAGAATACTCACTTTATGTGCTTGGTAGAGCAGTTTGAGTGGCAGTATGGGAGAACGGGAATACAGGCATATTTTTAAAGAAAACTAGTAGGAATGGGAAATATAGAGACATGAGTTGGTTTTTTAAAAAATAGTACTTATTTTTAACTATATTCACTGATACAACAGGACCAGTAACAACTACTTTATAAAAAAATATTTAAAAAAACAAGACTGCCATGCAGTTACAGAATTACTTAATACAGAAAACAGTAAAATACACATTTTTCTTTTACAAACAAGACTAATTTATAGCAAATTCTCTATTACTTCAGGTCAATTTAAAATCCTTGGCTTACATTTCCCCTCCCCACCCACTCAATGACTATATGATGCAAACTAATTTTATTACCGTAAGCAAAATATATACTAGAACTTCACAAAATGTACAAGACTTCAATATTTGAGGAACCAGTTAGAAAGCAGAAGCAGCTTTCAGGTTTTCCAATCATTCTTTCAATAAAGCACTTGCCATGAAAGGGAATACTCCAAACTACTGGGAAATTACCGGTAGATTTTTTTGTTTGGCTGGATTTTCACTGTATTGTTTTTCCAAAAATGTAAGCCTACTCCCCGTTTATCAAAATCTCAACTTGACCATTCTTGGAAAGTATCTTATTGTTAACACTTGCTTTTCTGCCCCTAATGAATTTGAATAGAGTCCTTTAATCTGCTTCAATAGCAATGACTGATTTATAAATGCTACTGTGAACATGTCAAGGCCTTTACCTTACCAGCCAAATTCAAAATGTTGGAATTAGTCTCCCTTATCAAGAACTGTCAGGTTACCCAACGTGCCCTTCTAATTTTACTTCTACCGGTAATTTTCCCTGTCCCTCAAAATAAAATAACGTTCACTAGGAGGTCTGCTGGCACTTTGACAGGGATGGTTCCTCAGTGTGCCAGGTTGTCCTATGCATTTAAATGCTAGCAGAACCCCCTCATTAAATGCGACAACCAAAAAAATTCCCTGTATGTCCCAACATCCTTTGGAAAGAGGGTTTACTGCCTCTGGGTGAGAACCACTGACACATGTTGGTTCTTGGGTTCATATGGCACTATTTTGATTGCTGAGGCATCAGTTCCTTCTAAATTCTTGGTTGTATCCTGGTTCCTTGAATTTACTGGACTAACGACTATAGAATAATGTGTAGCAATAGTTAAGTCAGGACTTTAGCACACGTTTTCAAATTGTACTCGAGAGGATTAATAAACTGGGTCCTGTTTTTAAGTCATTTTACATATTTGGCTTTACTGTATGACTTCCTTTTCATGGTTAACATAAGTTCAAAAATTTGTTTTAGCACAAAGCAGATGGCTCACTAGAAATATGAAATTCCTACAATCCAAATAAAGCTGCTTCTTGAGTTAAATACTTCTACTTGTGCACTGTCTTAAATACAGAATGTGAGGGGGCAGTTTCAAATTCTCTAATAAATCCACTTCCAGCAGATAATGAAATCTGATATTATATCACTATAAAATAGTTTCTTTTAAGCAGGACTTTCTTTATAAAGCAGTAACACCCACGCAGATAGGACAAAGAAGCTAAAGTATCTTACACCTCCTGATCCTGGAGTGCAAAAATCTTTCTGCTTCATCCTTTTTGACAGGGCCAAACATTTGTCTACAATAGAAAAAAGCATTACTAATGGGCAAGCATTAAGATTCTATACTGACCTGGCCGGTTTGGCTCAGCGGTTGGAGCATCGGCCTGTGGACCAGAGTCCTGGGTTCGGTTCCCGCTAGGGGTACGTATCAAAAAAAAAAAAAAAAAGATTCTATACTTACCATAGTCCTTTAATAGGCGAGCTGGTAAAACAGCACCCAATTGTGAAAAATTCAGGGGGAACCTCCAATAATTGGTTAGTGTGATCTCCAAATTGCAGGAAGCCTTCTAACCAGCAATTTGAAAATAATTCTTGCTCCTAAAATTTTATTTGATTATTTCCTCTATTAGTAACATCATTATCTCTGGGATGGATAGGGAGGGGGTGAGAGGGAGGTAAATCTCTCAATATTTACCTCAGACTTACAAATATGTTTAAAAAAATTCAAACGTTTTAATAGACAAAGTACCTCCACTGAATATGTTCTTCCTTTTCAGAAACTTCTGAACTTGCTATGTGAGTTTCTGCAAATTGGCTCAAACATACATTTAAAGAGTTGATAATTTCAGACTATATGCATCAGAATTTTAACATTACATTAAAATAAAACCTAAAATTTCTTTGAAACACCTTAAAAACAGACTTCCAATTCAACTCAAATCATCGGTACGAAACTTCTTTAAAAACAATTGTATCATAAAAGCAAAAGACAATGACTGTCATTAAATTTGAAGAGGTGTTTGCATGTTTCAGTCCCATGCTGACTCTTGAGATGAAAAAAAAAAAAAATCTGTCAGAAGAATCTGATTTGTGATCAATTTGAATGAATAAACTTGGTGTCTTCTCACAATCCAAATGAGTAAACTTGAAAAATCAAACTTTTGCTTTTAGAACTGGATTCTTGCTGAGGATTTCAAGGTACTACTGTGAAAGCTTATGGATTAGGCTGATTTCTTGCTCTCACAAGAGCATCCCAATGTGGCTCTATTTCAGTTGTGGCAATCCTAAACAGGGCGTGGAGATGCTCATCTGTCAATGGCTGGCTCAAAGTGTGTTGGTTTCTAACCAAATATGAAAAAGCTTTTTCACAGATTTCGCTACTATCAAACAAGGATGCCACTTTACAGGCAACCCCTTTGATAATCGGGTAAGATTCAGCAGACAATCCAGCATAGAACTGCCCCAAGTCTTTGTTTCTGTATTCATCCCAAAGGTCAGTATTTGCCTGAAGTTTTGTTAGCTCCACCCTTACTGAAATCGGTGCATATTCAGGTTTAAAGTTAAATGGGTTTGCAAACAGTTCTAAGTCCTTTTTAATGAACTTGAGGTCCTTGAAATGTCTATCAAAGTCTTTTTGCAGACGACAGATCACCACTTTATACCTACCAGGATCAAGTATTTTTTCTTCTTCTTTAATATGCTGTTTAAGCTCATCAACGATTTCTCTCAAGGCAGCAAAATGTGTTAGGTTTTTTTCCTCAATATGTCTCTGCAGTAAATTCAGCTTAGCTTCAAAGGTACAAATGTGGTCAAAGGCAGTAGCAGCAAAGACTCTATTGAATCGCAATAGTTCACTGAGTTCTCGAAGGTGGTTCATAATATCCACTACAAAGCCAAAGTCACAAAGCCATTGTTGGTCTGTGAAATGGACTGTTGTTGCCCCTACTGAAGCCAAGAATGCTTCTATCTCTTTCCTTAATAAAAATATTTGTTTTAAAGTTTTCCCTCTTCTAAGCCAATTGTTCAGACATCGTCCATTAACTCTTTCGCCATGTTCTGCTTCAGATGAAGTTAGTAAGGCCTGAAATTCGGGTCGCCTAATGCCTCTTGTCTTAATCAAAAGTATCCATTCAGATACGGTACTTATGACCTGATTAATATCTACATCGTAGGAGCTCAACAGTTCCAAGTGAAGGAATCCGGAATAATGGATGACATTCCAACAGTTGGGGCTTACAGCCTTTTCTCTCATGTATGACACCAGTCCTGAGTTCTCACCAATCATCCTCAGAGTGTGGGTAGTGGTTAGTCCAACCATTCGCTGCAAGCTTAGCCCTGCTGTCTGCAGAGCCTCAAGGATTGCCGCCATGAGAGCACCAACACTGAAGTGATTAGTCAGGTTGATTATGGTCAGAAGCTCCTCTTGCACCTCCAAATCCTGGTCCACGCCGCGGACAAAGACCAGGAGGTAGTTCTCATAGGCCACAAAAGCCTGGTCGTCCAAGGCAAGCGAATAGGCTTTAAAGTCCTTGGCTCGGTTAAAAAGCTGACTGCGTAGATTCTCGTTAATGTTCAGGACCCTCTGCCGGGTGGTTTCTGGAGATAAATCAATGCCACCCAAAACGCCTACGTGATCCGGCAGTACATCAGTCAGCATCACTTCCATGCACTGGTATACAAAGTCCCCCTCACTCCAGCCGCGACCCTTCAGGGCCAAGAGGCGGGCGATCCCGAGGCCTGCGCGAGCAGCTCTCTCCTCGGCAGTGGGCGGGACGATCTCGGGCAAGTCGCCCTGCCGCAGACGCTCCACCAGGGCCGCGCGCTCGCCCTCCTCCACATACCGCTGGTAGTACCGGTGCTCGGCCTCGTAGTGGCGCCTGACGTCGCGTTCGCAGGTGGATACGACGAGGTGGGCGCAGACCAGGCACAGGGCCCCTTCGCCCTCCGGAGGCTCCACCACCAAATAACGCTGGGTCCACTCAGGCCGGAACCCCCGAGACTCCTCGACGTCCATTTTGCTTCTCTTGGGTGTCATCCACATTATTCCGGAGGCTAGAGGAGCAGGGAAGATCTCCCGGCGGCTGCAAAGAGAGAGGGGGAGCAGGAGCAAACGCCAACCACCACCTACGCTCTGCGCCAGATCACCCCAGCAGCGCGACACCAACTTCCCGCTAGGGCATCTCCGTTCCTATTGGCCGGAGGAGTGGACAGTGATTTCTATCGCGCAAGCGCAAATCCTCCTGGCTAGTGGGCTGAAGCTGCTTTAGGTGGGGGGTCGAAGAGACCCAGGAATCCAGGGGCCTAAGAAACTTGACTGGCATTCAAGCTGCCCAATTAATAGCCCCCGGGCTCGGAAGCGGCGCTGCCGCAGGAAGGGGTAGGGTAGGGGGCGGGACGGCGTAAACAAAGTTAAGGGAATGACGTAAGCACGAAGCACTGTAGTAATTGGCTGACGGCACGGCCAGTGAGCGTCTCGACGGGGCCTGGACTCCTCTGGCGCCAAAATGTCTCCTGTAGCGGGCGTTATTCGGCGGCTGGACGAGACAGTGGTGAACCGCATCGCGGCGGGGGAGGTTATCCAGCGGCCGGCTAATGCCATCAAGGAGATGATTGAGAACTGGTACGGAGGGAGTCGAGCTGGGCTTCCTTAGAAGCTACGACTTAACAGGCAGCTCCTCGGGATGGCGCCGACACGCCTCCGCCTTCACGCCTCCCTGCCCAAGCGGAGGCGTGTACAGCGCATGCCCACAGCGGTGGAGACTTTGGGGTCTTGCCTTCTCGCTTCTCCGGCGCTGTCGCGAGACTTTTTAGGATTGTGGGGGGCGCACGCAGAGGGCTACGCAGTATTATTTTAATGGTGCCATTAAGGAAATACTTCAAAAATATATATATGCAAATTTTTAAATGTATAAAAATTTTTGGCAGGGGAAAAAAATTTCCGTTCATCCTTCATCAGTTACATGCTTATTCCAAGAAATTATGCACCTTCAAGAGTACAATTCATTTTGAATTTTTTATTTATTTATTTTTGTTCCGGATGTTTCTCACTTTTCCCCTCAGACACCCTCCTCCCTATCCCGCCTCCCCAAGCATTATTGTTTACGTCCACATTTTGAGTATTATAAATAAATAGTCGAGATTTTAGGTCAGGTCGATGATCTTTCTGTGGGTTTGTGATTTTCCTACTGCCAAATTAATATCCCACGTAGCGTTCTCCTGCCCTTTACTTTTGGGGGAGGGGCACTTTGAAGATACCAGGTTTTATGGGGTATTCTTTGGATTCTGAAGCTTAGGAATGTGAACCAGCGTTTAAAACGTGGAAAGAAAGGTGGTGTAAATTGTAAACCTCAAAAAAGACATGCTCGTAATGTACCTAAACATTGTGTAAGATCCTTTATATTAAAGTTAGTTTATGTTAATAAGATACATAACTTAAAAGAAAAAAAAAAATGCCCCAGCAAAGAAGGGTACATTTGTAAAGGGATTTATTGCGAAAACGTAAACCATTCCAGATAGCGGGACTGAAAGAACAGTGGATCAGAAAGGGCTACCAAAGGAAAGGCAGAGAATTAGAAAGTAGACAATAGAAGGAACAGGGAACCTAGGAAGGGTTTCTCATTTTGACTTGACTTACACAATTTATAAAGGCTGACTTGTTTCCACAGTGTTAGAATTAACAGAACACTTTGGACCTATTACTGTACTGTGTCAGAATCCTGTGCAACAGAACTAAACATTAGTGCAGTGGCTTATACTCAATTCTATAAGCAGAGACTTTGTATGGATCCAGTTATGCTCTTTTTAATATCTAAGTCAAGATGGTTAAACAATTTCAACTCAGGGGCTCCTGAGAAAGGTCTTTAGTAGTTAAGTAATTTATTGTCTTATTTCTAAATAAAGAATTTTCTGTATGAGGAGTCCATAACTTCTCTTGTTCACACAGTACCAGCCTGAATTTATCTTCTCTAGCAGATGCTCTGTGCTCATAGGCTCTTCTTTAAAGGTACAAAAGATTTGTTAGCTGCTTAAAAACTTTCTGCATTGCCAATTTTTCTTTCCTCCGGCATAAATATATTTTCTTAAAGAAAAGGAGAGTAGAGAAAAATATTTAAAACCTTTAATGATATTTTATTAGACTCATTTAGGAACCTGAGGCTGAATAAAATTCGAGTAACCGATGGTTGAATAAGTAGAGAAGAGGGTAAGAAAAAGGCATGTGCTAAAAAGACCTACTTGTAACTTCACTTTCTTCCCTAGAGGAACAGAAGTAGTGGTGAATATCGTATCGGAAATGATGGTTGGCCCTTTCTGTTCTTCTCATCCCTTTCTCTAAACATAACAGTAATCACAGAGCCTGTAAAACAAAAGAAAAACATTAATCAGTCTTATATTTATTTGGATTTTGTTTTTATCCCTTGGTTCATATTAAAATTTGTGCGTTCGGGTAGTTACAGACTGATATATTTTATTTTCTGTTTGATTTGCCAGTTTAGATGCAAAATCCACAAGTATTCAAGTGGTAGTAAAAGAGGGAGGCCTGAAGCTGATTCAGATCCAAGACAATGGCACCGGGATCAGGGTATGTAAAACCTCAAAGGAGCAGGATGTGTGTGCGCTCTGTGTGATGCATCGGCAGGAAGTAGCAGAACCTTTCCCTGTTCTGGAAACTCTGGGCTTTTGTGAATAGGATTGTTTGACTGAAAAATTCAGCACCAACAATATATGTTTACTGAGTTCCTTTACTGAGTTCCTATTCTATACTGGGCACTGTGCAGGGGAATAAGGAGGTGGAGGAATGAGGATGAGCGTTCTGGGCAAAGAAAACATGGATTTTGCAATACATGCAAAAACCATGAAATGGAAGCATGCTGACATGTTTAAGGATCAGCAAGGAGGCCAGTGTGTCTGGAACAGGAGATGAGATCTGGAAGATAAGCAGACTGATCATGTCGCACCTTGTGGGTCATCGTGAAATCTTTGGCTTTTACTGTGAATGAGGTGGGAGGCTATTAGAGGGTTTTGAGCCAAGAGATGGCATGGTTTAGTGAGTTTTATAAGAACCCTTTGTCTACAGTGTGGAAAATAGACTGTAGTGGGATAGGACAGAAGCAGTGAGGAGGCTCTTGTAGCAATCTGGGGGAGGGGTGACGGTGCCTTGGATCAGTTAGGTTGCAGTAGAATGTAAGAAGCAGTGAGATTCTGGGTTGATTATGTAGATGAAGGTCTCAGAATTTGCTGATGTAGGGTGTGGGAGAAAAGGAGTCAAGAATGATTTCAAGGTATACAAATGGAAAAAAGTTGCTATTCACTGATGGGAAAGACGGGAAGAAGTGGCTTTGGGGGAAGATCAGAAATTCTCTTGAGGGTATGATAAACTGAAGGTGCCTTTTAGTTGGATACTTGTGTGAGTCTGGAGTGTGGTTAGAGGTTTGAGCTGGAGATAAAACTTACTGTATTGTATTTTAATGGTATTAAATGCCATGAGACTCATGAAAAGATGCTCAACAGCACTAATTAGGGAAATATGAATAAAAACCAGTGAGACACCACTTGACATGCATTAGGATGGCATAAATAAATAGAGAGAGAGAGAGAAAGGGCGGGAGGAAGAAACAAAACAAAGTATTGGCAAGATGTTGAAAAATTGGAACCTTTGTGCATTATTGGTAGGAATGTAAAATAGTGCAGCCACTGTGGAAAATGTTATAATAATTCAAGAAATTAAAATATATATATATATATTTTATATATATATATTTTTTTTAATTCTCACTCGAGGATATTTTTCCATTGATTTTTCTTTCTTTCTTTTTTTTAGATAGAGTGGGAGGGAGGGAGGAAGGAGGAGAAAGAGAAAGAGAGATACATTAATGTGAGAGAGAAACCTCAATTTGTTGCCTCCCACATGACCCCCACTAGGCCGGGGATCAAACCTGCAACCAAGGTACATGTGCTTGACTGGGAATAGAACCCGGAATCTTTGGTCCACAGGCCAACACTCTAATCACTGAGCTAAACCAGCCAGGACTATTCCGTGTATTTTACTACTGTTAAATGTATCCGTAAAATGTATCTAGATTTTTACTGAAGTTTTTCTAATAATTTTTATAAAATCCATGAGACTGGATGAGATCATCAAGAGAGCGTGTACAGGTAGAGAAGAGATCTAAGGGTGACATCCTGGGTTACTCTACTGTCAGGGGAGATGAGACAGAAATGAGACACGTGAGGAGGAAGAAGCACCAGGTCAGTGTGGGATTCTGGGTACCAAGTGAGCAAGTTACTGCTAATTTGAAAACTTCTCCTAAGAAATATTTCTTCTTGGATTTATTCAAGAAAAGGGAAATTCAAAAAGATTTGGAAAACAATCAGTAACATAATTATTTACTTTTTTTTGGTATCTTCTAGAAAGAAGATCTGGATATTGTGTGTGAGAGATTCACTACAAGTAAACTGCAGTCCTTTGAGGATTTAGCTAGTATTTCTACCTATGGCTTTCGGGGTGAGGTAAGCTAAGGGTTAAATAAATGTGTGAAATACCCTCCAATGATGCCATTTTCAGCATGTTTCTCAACAAATAAATAAAATATGATACTTTTTACTTGTTAAATAAATATAAATCTAAATAGACTTAAATTCAATTTGCCAAGACTGAGACTTGTTTATAAATACTTAATATACCATAAACTTTATCTATAGAGAACCCCCACAACATTATGTGTCTCTTGATGGAAGAACACACCACCACCTATAAAAGATTCTTGTCCAAATATTAAATATTAAATGCGACTCTGATCAATAGTTAAATCTAAGTACCAATGTACAGAAAATATAGGGGGCAAGGAAGCATGGTAAATGATACTGAGATTGGGAAACTGAGAAAAGACGTGTTTCCTTCAACAGATAAACTGCAAGGGGAGAAAGAAGTAGAGAGGGGAGCAGGCATCTGTAGATCAAAAGAGATTTAAGAGCCATATGAGAATATTTAACATGCCTGTAACTCTAGATCTAAACAGAATTGCTATTTATACATTAATTCTTTGGTGTGTTTCCTTTTATACTTTTTAATATATTTCCCCCTTGTTTTACTGATTATGCTACAGAATCAATTTGATGTCCTCCTTTATTTTATTTATTTATTTATTTTTTATCCTCACCCGAGGACATTTTTCCACTTTTTGTTCAGATAGAGTGGGAGGGAGAGAAAGGAAGAGAGAGAGAAACATCGACGTGAAAGGGATACATCGAGTGGCTGTCACTTGTGCGCCCTTAGCGGGGACTGAACCCGGGTCTCTCTGGACGGCAGGCCAACGCGCTAACTGCTGAGCCAAACTGGCCAGGGTGCGCCTTTATTTTT